AAATAAAAGATAAACTTTATCAAACCTGCATCAACATCACTGTCCTCCAGTAATTCCGGCGGAACGTACTCTTGACTCACATCACTAGGAGTCACAATTTTGATCTAAATGAACTTTTTAGAAAACAACCTCATAACTACTCGACAAAAGTTCTTTCAGAATAATTCTACCAAAATTAAGACTAAATGACATTAATGCTAATATGAGCAGATTACTTCAAGGTCTCCTTCAGTATGTACAAAAACATGAGCAGGGGAAAATACACCACGTGGGGCTTTCGCTAATGCTTCACAACCAATAATAATCAAAGCGAGTAATTCATCGTCATTTAAAGCACAGCCACGGACCTCTAGTATCTCGGAGATTGAAACTCCGATGTCCCCCATATATTCCTATAACAATCAAAGAATGTAAATGAACATAAATTTTACTATTTTCAAACGCAAAGCAAAGGTTACAGTTTCTTCTTGAACTGTTTTATAAATTACTTCTGCGTACAATGTATTTCTTGATAGTTTCTTAAAAAAATTAATTAATATCACAAAGTAACAACAACTTCAGATGATACAGAATTGACATCCCTGTTCAATGATTGGCAGAAAACCCATTATTGTATTTAATCAAATTAAAAAAGAAGACCGATCGCTGAATACTAAAATTACTCATGTTAAAAGTGATAAAAAGGCAAACCCCTTACTAATAAACAGAAAACAAATAATGAAGGTAATTGGTGAAACACATTTGTATCTGTTGGAATTCAAAAAGTTGGTCAAAGTTTTTATTAAAACTTCTATTCCTTCAAACGAAAGAACAATTCGGAAAAAAAAGGCATACACAAATACAATATTATTCTGACAAGAACGCCATCTAAATTTCCAAAAATTGGTATTAAGACAGCGAAGTAAACAGCGCAAAAAAAAGTATCCTGTCTTACGAATACGTTCCAAGTGTCCATATTAAATGGAAAATCTTTGTATAATTATAAGTCTTATTCGATCAACACTATATACATTGATTTGCCCTTATTCTAAAATCTCGCAAATATAACCACATAATCAGTTTCTGTAACCAAAAGTAACCTTTTAAACAAAAAAAAAAAATATCACTGCCCAACTGTAACTCTTGCTTTTGATGCTCCTAAACAAAAATGATGGTAGAAATAAACCACAGAAAATCGATACAGCACCAGAAAAAAAAATCAAAAAAAGTAAAATTTATGTTT